GAACGCCGTCGAGTCCGACCACGCAGGCCAGTCCGACCAAGACCACGGATATACAGACCATTTGAAGTTCGAAAGAGGTAACTTGTAATTTGGAGTTGGTGAGTTGGTAGTCTTTGTAGTTTGAAGTCGCGACGTCCGTCCAAGCTTTTGTTTTGATTTTGCTTTTCACAATCTGTTGATTTTGTTGATTCACAATTTGATTTTAACTGATTTTGTTCTAACTTATTGTGGGTTTCTAGTTTTTGGTTTCTTTGGTGGAATTTTTTTTGCTCATTTTGGTTTTTGGTTGACACAATCTCTAATTGTTTTATTTATTGTGAATCTATTTATTTAGCCAGCATTAAAAATATAGCATATTGGTAGGAGTTTGGGGTTCACTTTTAGCCTTGTTCCAAAACTGCAATTCTCTCCAAAATGTCACTTTATTTTGTATTGCAAAATAGAAATAGATAAAATGACTTGTTTATTTTATTACTTCAATTTAATATTGAGTAACTGATCATATTTTTTGATTTATGTACAAATAATGATTTGCTCTATGGTTCTATTTTTTCATATCCAGTGCTTTTATTAAGGAAGAATCTAGACTTTTGAGAGTTTTTCAAGATAGAATTTGCATTAAAGAGACAGAATTCTACGAGGGAATTGAGACAGGTAATAAAATATATATTATATTTTTTTCTTATTAAATTTTATTAGAACTATTTATAGTTTATTTATGTTTGTTAATTGTGTTTTTTTTTTTTTCATTTTTTTCTTGTGGAGTTTCTTAGTAGCTAGTATGGCAAGTCAAGCAACTGATGATTACATTATATAGTTGGTAAGTATAATCAATATTTTAAAATATTACGTTTATTTGTAATAGCTAATATTGAACTTGATATTTGTACCTACTTTTTGTTATTAGTATTAGTATCTTCTTTCATGTGTATTTATGTAGGTTGTGTCTGGCAGAAATTTTTTGTCAAATGGAATTGATTTTTTGACCGTTTGTTGGCACTCCCTAGGAAGCACGGTGAGACACCAAAGTCAACAATTCCGGTTGGTGGGTGAGCAACGGTTTAAAATAGGATTAAAATATGAAAAAAAGTCCTCATAGACAGGCTCGTAGTGTTATTCTAAATGTTAAAAAAATTAATTACAGTACGAAACCGAACAGAACTAAACCTGAACAGTTCCAGAATTATATTTGGAACCGACGGTTCCATTTACTAAATACCCCGAAAATTTCTAGAACCGAACAAAACCGAACCGAACCGACCCGCGCCCACCCCCACCCCCAATCCTTTTTCGAGTTCCTTTTTCTAACTGGGAAGCCTATGTCGTACATATCTTTTGTAAAATTCAAACATTTCATTTTCATCATCAAACTTCATACCCACCTCAGGCACCTTCGCAATATCTTCCCCTACCATATCGTTAGCCATCAAATCCATATTTTCAATAGCATTGTCGTTATCGGACTCCACCAAAATAATATCATCCACATATTTCGAAATTTCTTTCCCTACAACATAATAATAAATTATAATGTCAAACATCAAATAACAACGAAATCATTTCTAAAACCACAATTGAAACTTACAATAATGTTTAATTTACTTCAGACGTGGTAGCAGCTAAAACTGTATGAACTTCATAAAACTTTAACTTTGAATTAAAAAATACATTCGCTAAATTGAAGTAATTTGTCATAACTAATTTGTCATCTTTCTCATCAACTATAGGAATCAGCCAAAAAATTAAACTATCAACAAATTAAACAACCAAAAATTGAAACAACTCATAAGCCAACCCAAATAATATGACTTTAACAACAGAGGGGAAGCTTAGCCCATGTCCACATCCAAAAAACTAAACAACTCATAAAAAGGGGTGAAAAAAATTAAAAAATGCATACGATTACCCTTTTCTGCCATCTTCACAGATTCTGTCCAACTTGAGAGTATGTCCCGACCTCCCCTGTTCCTTGTTCTTCGCTGGATTCTTGGTGGTGTGCGTTCTCGAAGAATATGGATTCCAGCAGGTGTTTTTCTCCGATTCCAGCTGGTGTTCTTCTCCGGATGATGAGTTCACTGAAGTTACTGCGAAAAAAATTGGGTTTGCCCGCTTCTTCATTCATTCCGTAGGAGTTTATATGGGCTTGACCCGGTTTCTAATTATGGCCCATCTTCATTTGGCATTTTGTTTTCATTTTCCCTCCCTTTCCACATCATTCTGTCACCCACAGTGTCACCCAAACTGGTGAAATAGCATTTTCGTAAGCAATTAGGGAGTGGTAATGTTAGGGTGGAGGGATGGGCTGAATTAGGATGGTAAAATTCCATGTACGCCTTGCATGGTCCCGTCACGAATGAGAGGGAAACCCCGCACCGAATAATCAGAAAATTTGCAACAGAAAAAAAAAAAATTTGATGTCTTCAATAATAATGTATATTTATGTTTTTTAGATTTTGATAAAGTAATCTATCTAATTTTGTAAGTTTCAGTTTGGTCCCTAATTTTAGTGTAATTATGCAGTTTTTTCTAATATTATACTCTCAATTCTTGAGTTTCCCATTACGACTTTCAGATTAAGTTCACATTCCATAGAACTGTTCTCATCTTTCCCCCATATGTTTGAGCTCCATTTTTTTTTTGCAAAATTCATTTTCAAATACACATTCTCTCATAATATAATTTTACAAGTAAATTCAAACTTTTCCTATTTCCCAAAAAGATCACTATTTCAAAATCAATTTTCCCAAAAAAAAAAAAAATAATAATAATAGGGGAACTCAAACGGGGCCTTAATAAGTAATTACCAAGGTTCATCAACACAACAAGGTTTAGTTGTTTGTTCATTTTATTTTCTTGATATTAATTTTTTCAATTTCTCGTGTAACTAATTGTTGCTTGAATCATACTACATGTACAACAATGATCGACAAAATCATATCCATCCATTTAAAAAAAGCTATTTTCTACGTCACATGTTAGGATTTTGACAACACATGGTTGTCAATCATTATTTTCAACCAATGTTGTACACTTGACTTTATTCTTATTGCTTTTAGTTTCTGTTCAACGTGTATATTTTAAATTTGTATGTGCCTCTGGTTGGTCTTAAATTAATTTTACCTCCTAGTTTCTTTAATTATTTTTTTTTCAATGCTCACTTGTTCAGTTATTCTCAATTTATGAATCATACAACAACGTATACATGTCATTTAATTGCTGTCATTCTATAAATCTAAGGGTCCATTTGATAGGCAAATGTAAAAATGAATTCAAATTCCATGTTAGTTGAAAAATAAAAACCCTTCAAACCCATAGGAATTCATTTTTCATGAAAATAAATAAAATGCAGTTTAAAGTAGTTGTACCTTAAAATTCAGTTTCCATTTCCACGTTACAATCAAATGATAAAAGTGAAATTCGTTTTCCTCGAATATGACATTTTTCATGGAAAATGTGGCAATCATACGAGACCTAAGAGATAATAATAGCAATTCACAAGGTAGGGTGCTAATTTTTGTTGACAATTTTTGGTCAACGACGTCTTTACAGGCTAAACAAAAAATTATAGAAAGGAAATAATACATTTTGTACAAAAAAAAAATTCATCCCCAAATGTATTGTTCTAAGGCGGCCCATGATCGACTCCAATCAACTCAGTGACCACCCCGAGCAAACTACAAAGAGAACTGATGAGGAATCATTACCACAAGGCATACAGAGGGAGGTCATAAACATCTATATCGTAAAATCGATTTTTGACAAAATATAAAAGACATAATAGAATCGTAACAATACAACTGACATGTTCTCCAAATGACCGAGCTAATTGAATGCGTGTACAACATTCAAAAATGCAGCCCAATAGGAATCCAAGCACTACAGGGACACAAAATCTAGTGCATGGTTGGCAAAATTTAAACGAACAAAATTCACTACTGCAATCAACTTATCAACCACAAATTCTATGGGACTTATTGCTTATAATCAACTACAACCTATACCAATCCAAAGGAAAAATTACCACTCTAAAGCCTTAATATCTATGAAATATGAATCGTATCACCAACCAATAGAACTAGCAAGACACTAAATATTCAATTAGAATCCACAAATGCAACCTTGCACAGTCGTCAAAAACATTTTGCCTATGTATAGAAAATGATTATTCACCACTATGAGCAAAACTTGTAATTGAACTAACAGCAGACACTATAGCTTGAGCATTAGATTCGAATTAATTACTTTAACCCCACCTTTTCTCACTGCTATTGCTAGTGAAGACTACCGATAGTCGTCCTACATGCCATACACATGACAGTTTATTATTTGATATATGAGACAATAAAAAATTACCGTATTAATACATCAAATAACAAACTACCGTGTAAGCCACGTAGGGCGACTACCAATAATTTTCACTACAAATAGCATTACTCTTTTCTCATGGCCAAGTACGGCGACGGAATTATAGTTTCCAAATTCTTGGAGTTCCAAGTGAAAGATTAAGTAAAAACGTGCAAAATCTAACCTCAAGAAATATGAACAGAAACCATACAACCCAATCAAAACTTTAAAACCATTAAATTGGTTCTTATTATTTTCTCACTAAGACATTAGATATATTTCAATCACACTTCCAGGAGAGGCTATATGACATACAACAGTAACTAAAACAGTAATCATAAACTCAATAACATTCTACCTATGCAACCAAGAAAATAATTTTCTAAGACCTAGCCCACTGATGTAAAAAAATAACTCGTTTCCCGTAATTCTTCATCAACAAAAACCAACACCATATTTTTCTCCATTCACTCGGCAAAGAAACAATAAAGATCATGATAATGGAAAGCAACAAGCTAGAGAAGGTTTTGTCAGTTCAGTTATAAAATTGAACATCTCTGATAGTACAATAAATTGAGAAACAAGCATCTGCCCAATAATTGAGTGAGAACCTTGGCAAATTAGAATTGTATGGATAAAAAGATTTAAATGATCTCCTACTTTGGAATTGTTACATTTAGGATTTTCACATCTTGATATGGCTTGTCTGCCTTATCTGTCTTCACTTTCTCTATAGCCTGTAAACAAAGGATAGCAGCTTACTCAATATAATAGAAAGTAATCAATTACTTCAAAATAATAAATGGAATATTTCTGTTCAAAACAATAGAGGCGTGTTTGTAGAGAGGATTGGATAGTACACAAGAGTATTAACGAAGAAATAGAGGCTAAAATTTTGTTATTATACTGTTATGAAACAGGTAAGGTTATCAATCTGATAAATCTGATAAGTATCCTTTTATCTGTCAGTCAATCAAAAGAACAAGGGAAAATTGGGGTATATTGTAATAAATTACTGATAAAGTGGCAGAATATATTACCTGTACAACATCCATTCCTTTTACGACTCTGCCAAAAACTGTGTGCTTGTTGTCCAACCACGGAGTGGCAACAGTTGTGATGAAAAATTGAGAGCCATTGGTGTTTGGCCCGGCATTAGCCATGGATACTGTGAATGGCCTGTCATGCCGCAAACTGCAGAAAGAGCAAAATTGTTTATATGAACATAAAGGACATGAGAAGGCATTTATTATTTAGTAAATTAACAAAAAAAAAAATGTTGTTTCTTGATCAATATTTGACTTTTTAATCCTGTGAAAGGCGTGCTTAGGATTCAAAAAATGTTTGATTGCATTTCTATTTTCATGACCATTCCCAGACTGAATCTGATAATTATATAACCAGTCACGATCTTGTTAAACTTCGTTAAAGATAATGCAAAAGAGCAACACCTGTTGAATTAATAATAAATAGAGGCATTCTAGCAGGTCACTTTTAAAAACTGGTCCCAACAATCAATGAGCGTGGCTATGGTTAAAACACACAAAACGACAATCACTTTCTACGAAACACATTCAACACGATAAGCAAGAATTGTTTTCCTAATAACATTTGCCTACTACAGGTCAAGGTGGACAGCCACTTCTACAACAGAACAAAGATATGCAATTTAGTTAACAATTAAATACTGAAGACAGCAGGCACATAATCAGATGATAAAACGTTGAATTAGATATATGCAAATTATATTTTGGATAAACATATCTACCATGTTAATTAAATAAAAAGTGTCGAAATTTGACCTTCAACTGCTTGCATCTCCTATGAACTACATTTCTGGAGACGGATTATCTGTGGTATAAATAAATCCATACTAGATCCATCTCCAATCTAGATCCAATGGCAGCTAATAAGAAGTCAGAGCACATAAAAAAATACATCAATCTTCACCTTTCAGCATCCTCATTTTGCCCTCCAACTATTGCATTTATAAACCAATTAAAGCCCAACATTCGAATGCACACAGAGCACTGAGCGATAGGTAACCTTATTGCACTATTACAAGTAAACGCAGTAAATTGAGCATATTAAATTACAGTACAGGCAGAAAAGAATCTCACCTTTTGTGGAACTCATCTTCAAATTCCCTTCCCCAAATAGATTGTCCACCAGTGCCATCTCCCAGTGGATCTCCTGTCTGTATCATGAAGCCCTTGATAACCCGATGAAAGATCAAATTGTCATAATAGCCATTCCGGCAGTGCGTTGTGAAATTCTCAACAGTTTTTGGACACTCTTCAGGGTATAGCTTCATGTGAATATCACCCATAGTTGTGTGCAAAATCTAATACAAGGAAATAATTGTCAGCCTCTGTGTATATATATCATGAAAAACCATAAAGACAATAAATCCCTACCAAGTAACTAAGAAACTTTGTTCTTGGTGAAAATGCAGTAACACTGACTACCTTTCTTGTACTATAGGATAACCAACAGGAGGGGGAAACACGAAGGAAAACCACTTACAATATTATCTGGAAGAGATGATGTCACAGTTTTTCCTATATCTGATGCAGACAAGAGTTCATCAGCAGGTGGCTTTTCATTAAACACATCTCTGCCCTTTGTTGCGTCTTCTGGTTCCTCAGGTTCTCTCCGACTTAAAAGAAGTTCAAAATAAGCATTTTTCTCCGATTATTAAAAAAATGAAAAACAAAAACCGATTTTGGGATAGAAAATAATCAACCCGTACGTAGCATACCAAAACATATGGAAACAAAGTGATTAAAGACTTTGTTTTGACTGAATGCTGAAAGATGGGAACAATTGCAACACCAAAAATAAAAAGAAAAAAATTGTTAGATTTTACAAGCACTAATTATGCTGGGCTTTTGGAATTAAGGCTCAGTTTGTTGTTGTAATTGTATTGGGCTTTTCTAATAAAGTTTTCTTCTAAGTATATGTTTACATGAAATCATAGATGTACACAAGGTTTTCATTAACCCAGTGATAAAAAAATAATTTCTAATAATAAATATAGTTCATGATTGAAATGTGAAGATGAACAATACTTGTTTCTAGATGCATCCTGAGAATTTAATACCTGAATAAATAAATTCGGTGTTTCTTGAAAGCACAGCACAGGAGAGTAGGATCTACCAAAGGATCTTTGCTTTCATTGACATTTACTGCTGCTGCAGGAATTTTCCTCACTTTTTTACTGCTTTGGTCGCCTTGATATAAGGCAATTTTTAAGAATCTATCATTATTCTCCACCTTACCAAGGATCCTCGCAACTTTATTGGTATGTAGGTTTACCACCTAAAAACACAAAAAAAAAGAGATGTAGGATTTGAGTACTTGTCACTTAGAAAACAAATGCAAATTAAACAGCTTTCAGTTCAAACAAAATTCAAAGTGACATAATGTGCATCTCTCTAGTGTAGTGACAAGAAATTTGACGTCTTACTTTAATCCCGAGAAGGGTTGCATATATGAGGAAGTTAGAACTTTCATCAAATACTGCATTTGGTTGGGGTGCATTTTCTGTTTTCTCAAATTCTTTTTCTACAGCCATTCTTCGCCCAAAGTCTATAGCATCAAGCCTGTATACAGGAACATCACTCCTCTGAAGATCTTGGGCAACCTAAGATTGCAAGATGTATAACTATCGTAGCACTTTTTTAACTGACAGACACGTAAGAGGAATGACTTAGATAATGATTATTACCTCGAGAGATTCATCGTAAACACGTCTCAATTTACCAGTTCTAAACCAAAATACACGTATTCTACGATCAGGTGAAGTGATAGAAAACTGCTTGCCGTCTGGACTGACCTGAAAAATAATATAGTACCAGCTGCTATAATTGTCGCTTAAACAAGAGAAAATTAGAGATAATTATAGGTCAAAACGAACATAGCCTGAAATTGCTAAAAATGAACTTGATTCCACTTGAGCCTCACAGTAGAAATATCTTTGGATGCGAAGAAGCGGGGAAAAAAGATTTAGGTAGCCAACACCAAGTTTACAAGGAGTGGAACTTACCTTCTTCTTCTTGTTTCACATATATAATCAAATCACATCCCATTGACTTGTGAAGCTATTCAGACATAGGTATTAAACAGCAAAACATAAAAATTTTCCAAGAAAGAATTATGCCCGTTACCTCAATAGTGGAAACAGTAGTCTTGCATTTCACGATTTCAAAAAGATTTGTGTCACTCTTTAGTCTAAAAGTCACCCTGCACACCAATTTGTTAAAGACACCTTAGCACATTACAAATGAAAACCGCAACTAGAAAATCCAATATGCTCAATTTCAGAGATAAGGCACCAGGCATTTTTTTAACATCACAAGCCTATCTTAGAAAAATTAGGGACGATTAGATTTTCGATATACATGTGTTCATGTTCTTCATTCTTTACAGTTAGTTAGAAGACATTAAATAAATCTCCACTCCAAACCTACCCATTTTCGGGAAACTGCAACGTAGCAGGATTCCAATACTCAATGATTCCTCTGTCGTCAGCAGAAATCACAGCATCATATTCATGGTTGTACTTCATTACTTTTATCGGGCTTAAATGAATCTGGTCAAAGATTTGAGAAACAACAAAGATATCCTCACGAAAGCAATGAAAAGGTAAAAAGGAGCATTAAGCTTCACGATTAAAATCTCCCCACCTCTCTAGAAACTATGGGTTCATTTGAACCTGCTCGTGCATCATATATGTGCACGAATGATGAATTACGATCACTAATAGCTAGCATGGCCTTCACATTCCCTTGTTTGTAAACCCATTCAATACAACCAGGTAAAAATGGAAGACGTATCATGGCCATCATATCATAGTTGAATACGTCATATATTTTCACTGATCGATCATTTGAGATTGTACAACAGAGCGTCCCATCAACACTAACCTGCAAAAATGTAATGGATAAGGTGATATCTACACTAAGAAATTGCAATTAAAGAAAATATCTCACGCAACAACAAATTGTTGCAGCGACATAACAACTATACAAAAAAAGCAATAACACATAAATTGGTGAGTTATACAGGAAGCCATCTTTTAATAAACATTGTCCATGCAAAAAGATGAGGACATTTTCAAAATTAAGGTAAAGTACAACAATGCATTCAGTCGGAACAAGGGAAAAACAATTGTTCCAAACACTGGACTTTGTCGTGTTTGTCTAAAATTTCAAAGAAATTAATAGAAAAAACATCAGTACACCTTGTCATTGAGCTCCATGGGTTATCTATTTGTTCCTTGTTGAGATGTTTGGTTATTGGTTTTGTGTTCATGATTCTCCTTTTTAGTTATCTTCAGATGGCACCGTACTGCGTGATTTAAAAGTAAGAAGCATGTGGCCTTTTAAGCTTGTAGCTCTTAATCTAAAATTGCCTGTATTATATTTCTCTTGTTGATGCTTAGATACAAACAACGCCAGACCAGTCAGAAATAGATTAATTTGTCCGGGAAATACTTAATTCCATAAGTTTGAGAATCTTCTCGTCTTAACACTTATAGAGCCGCAATCATGATAACTATATGTTTCTTGTGTATTCATGCATGAGTAGAATCTAAGGGTTTCCTGCTTATTGCTTAGAATCAATGCTTCAAAATAGGAGATCCAAGCGTTAAGCACCAATCAGCCTATTTTATCCACCAAATAAGAATGGATGAACAATGTTATGGAGGACTATTTACCCTAACGTTCATGCCGCTGCTACTGATTTCTTCCTGTGCATGTACTACACCCAAGAAATTATTCTACTATCACAATGATATTAGTGACCATGATATTTTAATGGAGGCTCGAGACAACAAATAAGCTGGACTTCAAACAATTACTGGATTAAGTCAGATAATAATGGAGATATCAAGTAGTGAAGTTGTGTTAATGAATAAAATGCTCTGAAGAGAAAACAACTAACAATTTAAGTCGGGATGGTAGAATAAGAAATAACAAGGCCAATTTGGCAAAATCAAAATTGGTGAATAAAAGAGATTTCAAGAGGATTATTACTCCGTAATGCCCAATTATTGCTTATGAACAATAACCACTGAAGTTGCAATCACATATGATGAGCATTAGAATGAAGTTAATAAGCTTGCCAGAGAACACCATGTACGAGTAATAAAAGAGATTTTGAGAGGATTATTATCATGGGCTTTACGCAATCGATCGGACATCTCTACTTTTCCCCCGGGGAAATGCCCAATGATTGCTCATGAACAGTAACCACTGAAGTTGCAATCACTGATAAGCATTAGAAGAAAGTTCATAAGCTTGACAAAGATCACCGTATATATGAGTAGCATTCACAAGTCGTTAAAGACACATCAAAGGAAAAGAAAAGAAACTCACAGCCAGGGCTTCAATTGGGCCAAGATGGGATCTAAAATGTTTTGCAAACTCTATGCCAACAGCCTTTTTCTTCCAGAACTTCAAGTGTCCTGCAAAAGGTATGAATAAAATCACAAACCTGAAGAGCAACAAGATACCATTATTGTCAGTATCTACTTCATTACTGTAAGAAAATCAGTACTGCAACATAATAAGACCAGAAAACAAAGTACAACTGAAGCAGCATTGCATCTATACCAACAAATTAATCCACTGATTCAGACCTGAAACTTGGTAATATCCGTTCTTTAAAAACAGATGCAACAGTAACAAAAGAGTAAATCAAATGCTTTCTTTGTTTTCAAGGATTATTCCAGGTAGGAAAAGGAAAAATTCCCTCCCTCCCTCTCCTTCTAATGAAATAATATGATCTCACTAGTCAATTAACTACATTTTTTCCTTCCTTTTGAAGAGTTAAAATAGATCTCCATCAGTTATGCAACAAACAAACTTCACCAGAGCTACTTTTTCATTACAGGGAAATTAAAATACTTTAAACCAACAAGAATCTTGTAGCAGTATCCTATACTAAGAAGGATATGACTAGTGAACCTGTTTCGACTAGTTGACTTAATACAGGTTATCAACAAGCAAATACATTCCAATAAGAAAAATACTAGCAAATGCAGTAACTTAATTAGATGAATGCCGAGTTTCCCATACCATCTGCACTCCCAGTTATGAAAAAATCAGCTGCCGAAACTGCAACATGTGTTACCACATCGCGGTGCATATAACTTTTCTCATACCTACACAACATTTATTAAATTAATCAAATCGACCTACTTTTCTTTAAAACTGATTATTTTCTAACTTGAACAAAAAAGAAAAGTTACAATAAAGTAACCGAATCCAATACAGTTTGAGAGTGTTTTTGTCCAATACAAAATAGTAAAAGAAACAGGAGTCAAAACCCTAAACCCTTAAAAATTTACTTCTTTGAGTTTGAACTTGATAAAACAAACTATTACATGATACATACATGTTGGCAGAAGGGAGGGAGTTGAGATAAGCCTGTTCGAACTGGAGTGGGCGTTTGAGCCGAGAGCGAGGGGCCGGACCGGGCCCAACCATGGGCTCTTCCTCCTCGACGGCGGTGGCCTCGGCCTGCGCCGATAAATTTCCACTTGCCTTTTCAGCTGCCGCTTCCTCCATCGTTAATCTTCGCAAATTTCTCAACTATACCTTCAACTATACTAGGTTATTAATAAATCAATACTAAGAATAACTATGTGATAGTGTGAAAAATTTAGCAAAAATATTCCGGAAATTGCGAGGGCAAATTCTGAAGCAATTCTACTAGAAGGATGATGATGTGCTTCGATTTATATGTTTTTCGAATTGAAGGTTAGTCTCTGCTGAGTATGATATAAAAATATTTTAGAAGAGATCATGAGATGTGAGTAGTGAAATTTTAAATTTGTTTTTTTTGTTAGAAAAAAAGGGAAAATGCAATCCATAATCTTTTCAATTTTTACCGATTTTATACTAACTTTTATTCTGTGTCAACGAAGGTCCCTAACATTTCATAAATATGAAGTCGGGGTCCATCTTTTTATTTTTTGAAGTCCACTTTTTAATTTTTCAGGTTTCCGTCCAGATGGATCCTAATTGCATATTTATGAAAAGTTAGAGACCTTCACTGGTACAAAATGAAAATTAAGGTAAAACCTGCAAAAATTGAAAAGTTGAGAGATCAATCCTGCATTTTCCCCAAAAAACAAAATAAAAAAATAGTGATGATAATCCAGATTAGTAAATAAATTTTATGATGCCTATGTGGTAGGGATGGTTCAAGTTTTTGGAGGTATCGTATAATGTTCCAAATTTTCCTATTTAGCCCCTGTTTCACATCTTTTTTTCAAATTTATTTTCAACTACATATTCATAGAATAAAATATTTTGTACGCAAACTCAATTTTTTTTTTTTTCTACTTATATATACATTCTCAAAAAAATTACTATTTAAAAAAAAATATCTTTTTCAAAAACTCTTTAAAAATGGAGACAATGAAGGCTTATTATTTTTTAAACACAATTAATAATTAGAAATATAAAATAAATTAACAGCAAGAGTGCAGTCAAGGGCAGGGCTACACGGGGCCAAGGTATTTTGCTTAGGGATGATAAAAAAATCGACAAATCCGATACCCGAGGGGTCCCGACCCGAACAGGGCGAGAATAGCCCACTTAATCAAGTAACGGGGCGGGGACGGGTATCGAGCTCCCCGCCCCATTAATTTTTTTTTTTTTAATTTTAGAATTCAATACTTTAAATGAAAAATTTCGCGAAATGTTATTAATTATAATAGAAAATAGCAACTAAAATTATTTGTCTAACTCTAATAAATATGAGTAATAAAAATAAATTATTAAAAACTAAAAAAAAATTAAAATTTAAATGGGTTGTAAGGGCAAGGACCCCACCCCGCCTGAAATGGGTAACGGGGCGAGGAATTTCTTATGGGCCCGGCCCGCCCCGTTGCCATCCCTGATTTTGCCATCTCAATGTTGCCAAGTGCGATAAATGAAGTCTTGATAGAATTCTTCACCTGATAATAAAGCTTTTTTTTTTTCCAAATTATAGGCTTGCCTTGGTCTTCTCACACATGTATACATTATCTCACCAATATGACACATCTACAAGATTGAATTGAACTAATCCATGGTACAACTGTGAAATCACAGTGTGCATCAAGAATCTATTTTGAACAATTTCTTGTAGTTCAAAAACTCAATTCTTTTCTAGCTGTATATTTTGAACAATTTTCCATTTCTCCTCTTTCTCCAATCTCCGATTCTAATTGGACACACACAGTACAAGTCAAGAACCAAATACAGGCTCCGAGTCCTTTCACCGCCAAATCCCCAATTTCTAGCCATTTCTCCTTTCCTCTCGTCTGCTCCAAATCCCCACTTTTTCCCCAAAATTCAACGAACCCTTTTTATAAACACGGGCAAATTGCAGTAAACCCCACAAAAAGGAAAACTTCATCAATGGCATCAACCACAGCAGGTAACGCACAGACCATTAAACCCTTTTCAGTGCTGTTTGTTTGCCTTGGCAACATTTGTAGAAGTCCTGCCGCTGAAGGTGTGTTCAGGCACCTTGTTAAGGAAAGAGGCCTTGATTCCAAGTTCTACATTGACTCGGCTGGTACCATCAATTATCACGAGGTTTACATGCTGATTAAATACCCGTCCCCATTTTTTATTGCAATAATTTATAGAAGCTCAATACAAATTCACAGTAGTTTAGCTTATTGTGAGTGTTGCAATTTTTTTTTCACAAACAAAATCACAAACTACTACCGTGATTTCAGGTCTCTTGGTCTTTGTTTTGTGGAAAATGTTGGAAATGGGTCAAGTTTGACTAATAATTCGAATGGGACCCAGTATCCATTTTGTGTGGGTCAATGGTCAAACGCGTTCTACTCCACGAGTAGATGTTCGTGATATATTTAATTTCACAAAACCATTTTCGGATGAATGAGAAATTAATGCTAGAAGTTTTCAACTTGAAAGTAAAAATCCTGAAATTCAAAATCAAGTGTGGGAACTTTATCCCACATAGGAAGGTGAAAGAATTTTGAACCAATTTATATACCTCAAGTTTGGATATGGGTTTGGGCCTCAAGGGGTACCAATAGTCTAGACTAGTCCAAAACTCGCGCGCCGCCGTTGTCCGTCCGGTTGGCTCGGCACGAGCTCGGATCGGGTCATTGTTGGTTTCTAATTCTTTTTGGACAAAATAAATTAAAATGATTTATTTAATTTATTTTTATTTATTTCCGAATTTCAAAATTAATTAATTGAAAATGTGTCTCTTTTCGAAACTGTTCGGACTAAATTGACACAAACTAATAGTTGTGTCTATTCAGTTGGCCTGCAGGGTTTGATTGATTCCAATATTTTCATTCTCTTCTATTGCATTCTGCATAACAAATATATTTTCCATTCATTGAGAGAGTACAAAACGTTTCTGGTTCACTGTTCTTGCTGTTAAGAGTGCTTATACACCGCAAGAGAAAGATTGTTGTATCTTGGGAGGCGATTGGCGTCAACTGTAAGCACCGTAACAGGCCAAAATCGTCTTAAAGAAATAGAGTCGAACTCTAGCTTCAATCTACTGGTTTCTGCAATTTTGTTAAGCATTTATTCGGTTTGCCGTTTCCTTCTCTTCATTTCTGATTTTGTTACATATCTCGCGTGCTAAATAATAGTTCTAACAGAAAACGACCCCTAAAATTCTTCTACACTTGTGGGATTATGAAGTGAATCCGCAATTGAGGGTAGGGGTGTCCAAAAGTCCCGAACCGAGCAATTCTTCATAAATTAAATATCCGAATCGAGAACCGATGGGTTTGGGTCGGGGTCTCTGGTCTAGATCAAGAACCGAAACTAAATAATTTTTTATATTTTTTATATTGAATTAATTAAATTATTTTATTTTTTTCTAAACAAATTATCAAATTAATTAAATAAATCAGATTATTTCATAATTTTAATTTTAAAGCCCAAATCATTTTTAAAGCTCATTAGCCCATTTTAATTTGAAGCAAATGAATATACTTTATGTAGTATTGCTGTAATATTAATATCTACTTTTTGGTATTTGTATGCATTGAATTAATCTTATTGGACGGTTATTTATTTATATGTTTTTGAATTGGGCTACGTTAATTTGTAAAAGTTACGAATGAAATGTCATTAGTTGTATTTATGTAGTGTTGCTGTAAATATTAAAAAATTTAATTATGGTACAAAATCGAACGGAATCGAACCCAAACGGTTCCATAATTATATTTAGACCTGACGGTTCTATTTATTAAATACCCGAAAGTTTTGGGTCGGTTCGGGTCTCTTCAGAATCGAACCGAATCGACCCACGGATAGCCCTAATTGAGGGATAAGTCACGGTACAACTAGACTCCACATAATCCAACATATGGTTTATGTTTGCACAAGCTTGCAACTTCTTGTGTTAAATGTATGAGTTATTTGGTAAACATCTGGGCTTGCGAATCACAGGATGAGTTAAAAGCCACTTGATATGTGTGTTATAGCTGCATATTTCTGGGAATTGTTTGGAGTTAATAAGACCTGGTTTATCATATTGTGTGGTTATTTGGAATATGTTTTTCTCCCTAGTTGCTGAATAATTTGTAAATAGTGGTGTAATTGTTGTCGTCTTATATTTTTAAGGGGGGTCCAGCGGATCCAAGAATAAGGGCAGCCTCAAAAAGGCGTGGGGTTGAGATAACTTCTATATCAAGGCCGATAAGGCCATCTGATTTCAGAGATTTTGATCTTATTCTTGCAATGGACAAGCAAAACAGAGGTGGGATAGTGCATTTGATACAACACTTATTTTTGTCTGCTTTACTATTTTCAGAATACACGTGGCCTTGTAATGCAATTGCTGCTTAGACTCGCTCAAAACGTCCACTTCCATGTTGAACCGTGACAAGTATTAAGCTGAACTTTTTTTCCAATTTCATTTTCTACAGAGGATATACTTAAGTCATTTGAAAGGTGGAGGCACAGAGAGACATTGCCGGCTGATGCAGATAAGAAGGTTAGTATGTGGTTAGCATGTTGGTGTAATGCAATGTGCGTTACTGTGACACCCCGGACTTAAACTTCGAGTGTCACGTACTAAACATAATAATTTTTGCCTTTGCTACATATAAAAACTCTTAAATAAAATGTAATACATACTGGAAACTTATTTTCAATTTTTAGTAAAATATCTCTGTAAAATTTAATGGCAAGTAGAAGTGCATGCTGACCTGAAAGTATTCCTACATATACGAACTCAGTGCTGTCAAGGCTAATTGGGGCAGCCAGTTTAAATCTTTTTATAAAATTCATCCCAACTCCGTTTTCTATGAAATCTGCAGTATTTGAAAGATATTTCCAAGTAGTTTCCTATGTTAAAATATGGAAAATTTCCAAGATACTATGATATAGACGTTTTACTAAAAACAGTGAGGTATTGCACTGAAACTTCAGGTTGACCTTTCGACGCTTAAAAATTTATAACTCAGGCTACAGATATCCAAATTGCGCGATTCTTGTGCTCATATTAAGACAACTCAATGAGGAACTTAAAAGTGTTTTTAGAGTTTCCAATAAGTGTTTATAGAGCTAGT